AACAGAGATGGCAGTGGTTCCAGGTACCTGACATCCAAAGAAGAGGCCCCGGTAGCACCTCAAGATTACCAGTCTGCATAGCAGTCACCAGTGGACCTTGGTCAACTGCTACACCTCATTTGGAATAAGAATGTCTCTGAGTGCCATTTGCAGGTAATAATCTGAGAATGAAAAGAGAACAGAAGGTGAGAGAGAGGAATTTCTGCCATGCCTGATCTGGCCTGCAGTGGATGCAGGGAGGTGCTGCATGTGACACAACTGGAGACAGCTCATACTTTCTTGTCAGGCCAGTCAATGGTTCTAAAGGACACCTCAGCTGATATCAGTAAGAGGAGCTGTGCTTTTCATCAGCTCCATCTCTCTTTCCTCAATCAGACTATGAGTGAGGTGTCAGGCTTGCCATCACCATTACATAATCTGCCTGCTGGAGCAAGCTATCGTTTCACGGTAAGAGGCACTGACAGGTTGCTCCTCTTGCTCTTTCCTGGTGGGGTAAAAAGGGATCACATGGTATTTCAGGGCATCAGTCATGAAAATATTTAGCCCCTGTGCTAAATCTCTAACAAGGATCAGATTTCCAGATACACAGGATAGGAAGGACTAGAAATAAAGGGTGAAATCCAGTTAAATACTTGGCAAAATCCTACTGGTTTGAAGAGAAACAAGGTTTTCTCAAGAACAGTTTGCAAGTTAATCAATTTTCATATTGTGCCAAGCATGTATTTTCTAGTTTCTCCGGTAATTCAGTTTCAACAAGATCACTCCCCAACTTCAAAAAACGGGGAATAAGTAAACAAAAGGTAGAGTTATGTGGCACTACAGTAAGATATGGTAAGAATAAAAAAGGTATAAGCTTGATTTTCCTTTTTCTGCTCACATGTCTAGGAAACATTGGAATTTCTGATATAAAACCTAAATTAAGTTTCCAAGTGTTTAATTACCAAGTAGCTCCTTACAAGACCGATTTGAGGTAACCATTTGTTTTTATCTCTTGTTTTAATCTTGATCCTGTTCCCTCATTTCTTGCTACATTCTTGATATAATTCCTTGAAAAGTAAATGCTGACTATCTAAAAGGGAGTTTCTGCTGCAATTAGAGTCAAGACGTATTTTTACCACTGTGTCCTGTTGTGTTCAAATGCTTTGGCTTGCAGAGCAATCTTATACCCAGTGCTGCCCATGCCAACGATCCCCAGAGTAGCTCTAGTAACTTTAACTCCCAGAAAATTGCCTTCACAGTACTCCATACCTGAAGAAATTGCAATGTGATAACCTGCAAAAAAAACACTGCAATATGACAATATGAGAAATGAATGGGGTCCAACACAAAGGAACAACACTTGTACTACTATAGGACATTTTTAAAGGTTACAATCACACAATTTTAAATAGCAATAATTTCTGTAATGTCATAGGTACCTAATACATCCTCTTTCTCTGCCACATGCGTGTGACATTCGCATTTATTCTCACCATACTGCAGAAAGCCTTCTGATGTAATCTCCCCTAAAAGTTCTTTGGTGCTTTAAACTAGAAAAATATTGCCCTGCTCTGCACCAACAATTAAAATAATTATTGCTAGTAACACCACCATGTTTGGAAATGTTATGTGGAAAATAACACTAGATACGGGATTTACTATTTAGACTAAGTACGGGTTTCTGTTCACCTCTGCCATTCTCCTTGGAATGAGAAGTGCGACTTCCTTAAAAATCACTACTCAGTTATTTCCATGATTATCTGTTAAACCTGCAAAATTCTGTATAGTTCTACAAGACAGAAAATAAACTTATATGCAGGGACAGCACTTACTAGTCTGCTATCAAGGTGGTATTTCAGTTTTCTAATATTGCCAGCTCTTCTAAAACATAAGAACAGAATATTATGAAAGCATCAAAAACCACCTCAGGATAAAACATAGTCATGCCAGGGCAGAGCTATCAGAAACGCCACCAGGGACAGTTTATGTAGATGGAATAAGAAATTAATCACACTTTTAAATTATCTCCTCCTTCTGAGGTAGAAACAAATTTAGGGTGAGGCAAGTCTAACCAAGCCAAGGGTCCGTCTATTTGTGAAAATGGCAAGAAAAAATTGTGGATGAAAATAGAATGATAGAATCACAGAATAGTTAGGGTTGGAAAGGACCTTAAGATCATCTAGTTCCAACCCCCCTGCCATGGGCAGGGACACTTCACACTAAACCATATCACCCAAGGCCTCGTCCAACCTAGTCTTAACACTGCCAGGGATGGAGCATTCACAACCTCCCTGGTCAACCTATTCCAGTGCCTCACCACCCTAACAGGAAATAATTTCCTCCTTATGTCCAATCTAATAGAAAGGCTGCTATTAGCAGACACTGGCGCAAACTGCCTCGTTGCTCTCATGCCCTTTAAACTCCCCTATTCTGCACAAATCCGTTTCAGTCCCTGAGAATATACTCATGCCTCTGTCAGGCCCAGCTTTCAGCATATACCCTTACTGTGATCCATTGCTGCCTCCCACACTCTAATTTCTTCTTCCAGCCTGTGATTGCAGCTATCATCTAATCTTTGGCATCCCCCACTTTTGGTCTGTAACAATGTAATGCTATCACATCAAGAAGCATGTCTGCTGTCAGCCAAATGTCATAGTCACTGAAGAAGGTGATGAAATTTAAAGTTTTCATATGTAGGAAGCACACTTCAGTGTGCTCTTCACCTGAAACTAAGTCCACAGCCATATTTCTTCTAAAAAAAAAAAGTATTCCAGCTTCGAAGGACACTTGGTCCACAAAGCAAAACACTGTATTAGAATCAAATGTGTTTAAATTCTGCCAAGTATTTTCAACCCAGGCTGGTGACCTGTGAAAACTGAACTCATATGATTTTACTCATACTTTGTTGAAATATATGTTATCTATGTTTGTGTAAAATGTAATAATTTATATATATTTATTATATATAAAATATGTAAAAATACCAATTGTTCTATGTGCTAACCCAACATATTGAGATTTTCACATTTTATGTGAAACTACATGCACTGCATATAATTGTAGGAAAAGTCAAGTTACTGGTAGGTAGATCTTGACTGATCTTTAGAAGCCACAAAAGAATTGAGATGTTACCTTCCACTAGTCTACCTGCTGTGCTGTTGGGAACAGCACATGGAGCATGAGCCATCTTCTCGCCAAAGCTAGCTACAAGTTTCAGATCCAGGCGATCCATCTATGCTCCTAAATTCACAATCACTTTCAAGTTTGGCAGACTCTGAAGGAGCTCTTGGTCAATGACTGGTTTGTGCCACCACAAAAAGATTGCTTGGACCTTTTTGCTCGTATGCTTTCTGTCTTCAAGGAACTCCTTCATGATGAAGAGGTAGAAATGTTTCTTCAGGAACACCACGTGGACATCCCATGTATGCCACCAACTTAATTCACTAAAAGCCCAGGCAGCTCTCCTGCTCCCATGATCTGCACAAAAAAGAAGGACACAAAGTGTCAGAAGAAAGACATATTTTTTTTCCCAAAACATTTTAAAGAATAATCACTTTCATGTCCTGTTTCATGGCACCTATGACAAGACCTTATAAGCCACATATTTAGATAGGGAAGTAAACAAGAATGACAAGAAAGCAGTTATTTTAAGTATACTACCAATTATACACACACACATGGGTATTCACATAATCCAAATCTGAGCAAGTTCTGTCCCTCATGTCTGTAAGGTTTTGTATCACTGCCAACAGGCTCATAACACACAATTATTTCTCATCAAATACTTAGTTTCAGACCATCAGTAGTCTGGTGCAACAGATCTCCTTCCTTACCCTGAAATCACAAATTACAATGTTTAAGTAGTTCAGAAAAATGTTGGACCAAATCCAGTTTGTGAAAACCGATTGCACAGCTTCATCATGAACTTTGAGTTACCAGGTTAATTTTTAAATGCTTCCTTGCAGAGATTTTTGCAGCTTCCAGTCCTCGAAGAGACACCAGTGACTTTTGAACTGCAGTGCCTTCTCCTGAGGCTATCATGAATTAACAAAATAACAGATACTTAGGAGTGTGTTTTCCAAGAAGGACTTATGCACTCAGATTAAAATTTGTTTTTTATTCAGGAATTGCTGACCATCTGTTTGTCAGAGGGTTGTGAATTGACAGCCTGAAAAAAAAAAAAAAGACCATTTACAGCTACCATTGATTTTCCATAGGAATTTTGGGAAGAGCAGCGCAGAGAGCTGTTCAAGGGCTGAAGATCTTGGAATCCCGTATAGCAATACTTGCTGCTGTCTTGTTAGCAGTATTTCACTATTTATTTATATCTGAATGTCTAATGTAGGTCTGTTTACAATTCCTGTGCTAAAACTTGATTTTACCATTCCTTCAAGAAGCCTGACCATACTGCAGCATAATGGAAAGGCTTCCTGATCTTATGGAGGCGACAAACATTTACTGTTTTCTGACTCTGTTGCTTGCTCATGAGGAAAAGACTGCAAGAAAAAACTTGGCCCTGGGCTGCAAGTTAGGACTGATCACTAATTCTGCTTTAGGCTGTACCCTCACCCCAGTGATTTCAGTGGTGGATCTATCATTGTTTTATGGCCAGTCAAGATAAAATCATCATCTTTGGATGAAACTAAATCTCTTGGAATTTGCTTTTCAAAGGATCTCCCCAGGAAAATCAAAGACACATTTTCAGTGGTTAGCTTTGCTTTGATGTAACATGTAGATGTAGCAGAACTCTTCTTGCATTAGAAAATGTTAGGCCTATGATCGTTTCAAAGGAGTCTGCTTCCTTTAGTGTTTTGGTATAAAAACATTGCAATATTGGCTGAAAAGTGTTTCAGGATACAGTCAAATTTCAGCAGGGAATTAATGCTTAATTCACCTTTAATACATTTGAGAGTGTTAACACAAACTGCTTGGTGTACTTGCTTATCATCATGTAGCAGCAAGTACTAGAACACAGGTATTCACTGAAGTAACAAACTGAAGACATCAAAGTGCATAACTGCTCAGTTTAAAATCTTCAAACAAATCCCTTTTATTACTTCCACTTTATTTTTCAGAACTGTAAATAACAGTACAGATCAAGTCTAGTGAGATGACAGCTTTGCAGTAATTTAAAAGTGGTACTGTAAGATATAGTGCTTTCCCATACGTATGAGGTTTAGCAATATCCTCTGGCACAGATCACTTGGGAAACACTTCACTTGGAATGGGTTGGCCATTGAGAACAGCCAGCATATTTGCTATTGCTTCTTCTGCCATCATATGGATAGCTTGGACTGTTGCGGTTCCAATGTGAGGGGTTATGATGACGTTATTTAATTTTAATAATGGATGATCTCTGCAAGAAACAGAAACAACAGAATGCGTTACATAGGGAATTTACTCTGCAGCTATCCCATGCTAGCTGTTAAGAACAGAACATCAGGAAACAGCAATGGCATGTTGACATAAAAGGGCCACAAGCCCTCATAAAAGAACCCCATAAAGCTTGGGAAGCTTGCCTACCCATTTCTTCTACCTTTCCATTGGTTTTGTTGCCTTGCCTGTCAGTTAAGCTAGCAAAGAACTGACAGATGGGGGAAAGGTGAATAGTTTGCCATCTATAACAGTAAGACAGGCTGAGGTTTTGCCCTAAAACAGTGAGAGAGACTCCCCACAGAGGTCAAGATCTGGCACGCTCTGGCACACAGTTTAAAACATTTCAGATTAACAGAATTGAAAACGGGTTTATTTACCTTGGCAGAGGCTCAGGGTGTGTCACGTCCAGAGCAGCAGCCCTAATAATCTTCTTCTGGAGAGCTTCTACCAACGCATCTTGATCAATAACTGCACCTGTATTGTAATGAAATCTTGCTAGTATGATGAGTTAATGAGCATGTATTTACCTGGAAGAGGAGAAAGATCTCAACGGTCTAGTGAGAAAAATTACAGAATTTTGTCTTGTTAGAAAGCATGTTTTTCTAATAACCATTAACCACAAAGAACAGATTTATTAATCTTTAATTAGAGAAGGATTATCCGGTTAGATATAAGGAAGAAGTTCTTTAATGTGAGGGTGGTGAGGCACTGGAACAGGCTGCACAAAGAAGTGGTCTTCTCCATCCCTGGCAGCACTAAAAGGCCAGGCTGGACAGAGCCTTGGGCAACATGGTCTAGTGTGAGGTATCCCTGCCTGTGGCAGGGGGGTTGGAACTAGATGATCTTAAGGTCCTTTCCAACCCTAACCATTCCATTATTCTATGATTATGGTCCACTTAATAAGGATTTTCCTGGGATGTGACCACTTTCAGTGTTTTTCTCATTTAGACACTGACTTCCTGTATTATAAACAAGCTTTCCACTCTTTTCTCTCTGCTTTCTTTACTGAAACTATAATCTCTCTCATATGCTTGTTCAGTGCCAACAGATCTGTAATCACATGTGAGGTTTCTTTTCTTCATAGCTGTGTCAAATGAAAATTAAGTTTTTCCTGGTATCCCATTCATCATCAGTGATGATAAACCTTTCAGTTATTTTCAATGAAAAAAATACTGTGTTTAGTATAAGGCTAAGATAACAGAACAGCTACTGAGTATCCATAAATTCTATAGGACCTTTGAACACTTGGCATCTGTTCTATGGAAAGTCATTAATTTGTAGACTGCCAGTTACTTCATGACTCAAACAATACAGAGATACCACAGACTGAGGTTGGAGGGGGGAATGTCAATATAATCAGAAAAAAACACAACCTTAACTGTGCAGTCACAAACAGTGCTTTTAGATTGTCCTACCTCTGCTGATGTTTATTAGTGTAGCTGTGGGTTTCATCAGCCCCAGCTCCTTTTTCCCAATTAGTTTGTGAGTCTCAGGAGTCAGGTTCACAACCAACATAACAAAGTCAGATTGCTGCAGCAAGTCTTCCATCTTCTCACAGTAGTGGGCACCAACTACCTCTTCCTCTTCCTTTCTCCTGATGGAAAAATGCACGCACACCCAAATTGACACAAGTACTTCTAACTGGCTTTAACAATCAATCAACCCTAGGAGAAATAAAGAACAGCATAGCGAACAAGAGGGTTTAGGCCAAGGTAAGAAAAAGATGTTGAAAGGTATAGATGGTGGAAGGAGGTGGGAAGGATGTGGGTTAAAAAGAGGCAAAAGGAGTGGTGGGACACTGAAGGAGTAATGAATGTGAAAAGTATGTAGGCAATATCAGGCATAGGAGGTTGGGGATGCAGTCAGAACCTGCTCTTCTCATGCATCTATGCCAATTTGTTCTGATGAGTGATCTGACTGGGCTGAGGAGTGGGTGATTGGCTGGGTGTGCCAGGGATCTTGTCAGAATCCTAGAGTCCAGCAGGACAGGAGGCACAATGAGGGCATAAGGCCTGGTTTGCTTGGACATCTCCAGAAGGGTTACACTTCCCTTGTTCCTAACTGCCATTAGCTAACCAGGGAAGAGTCAGTGCAGGAGGCAAAGGGAGCTACTTCCCAAGCAAGGGAAGCAGTAAGGAGCCAAAGTGAGGAAGTGGTGGCATGCGGGTAATCCTCATGCTGCTTACAACTATCACAAGTGTCTAGGAAGATGAGGGACACAGAGCAGAGCTGTGGCTTCTGTTACAGCCTAATTATGTGCAGAAACCACATGATTTTACCTCCGGTTCCTATTATGATACAGGATCTTCATGTTGAAGGCTCTAGCTCTCTGAGCTACTTTGTACCCAATGCTGCCCATCCCGACGATCCCAAGCGTTGCTCTGGTTACTTCCACACCCAGCCAGTCAACAGCAAAACACTTCGTGTCTGGAGAAATTGCAATCTGGCAGCCTGAATGTAAATACATGCTAAATGGGTACAAACTGAACATAAACGTAGGCTTGAGAGAAAGACAAAGTTTCTCACCATCACAGCAGTGGGGCTGTGGGACACCCCTTACAAAAAATCCTTGCTAATTCTGACCAGTTTATAGAAAGGCCTGGATGGTGCCATTCCCTGCAGCCGGGGCTAGAGTCAGTAACGCAGGAGAGATGCTGTGATGAGTACTGTGCTAGGAGGAACTCTTCTGTGGCTGGAGTATTTTCTTGGAAATTCAAAAATACCTTCTTTGACACTTAGCACTCTGCAAGCATTGACTTCATTGGGGTGTTTTTTTGGCTTTGGTAAATTTCACCAATTCTTTCCTGTATCACAACCCAAAGCAGCCCTACTTGTTTGAATAGATGTGAAGACTGCAAATTCCAGCTTAGCCAGGGATCTCAATAAGCTTTTCTATACAGAACTTGAGGTCCAGCAAGATGCAATAATGAGAAAACATCACAAGGAAGAGGTGCTACTTCATGCTCGGGGGCGGGGGGGGGGGAAGCAGCAGTGACAGAAGGACTATGAGTCCCTGAAGACAGAAGCAGCTTCTTGTGATAGCCTCTACTGACACCTTCCTTTCCCTGAAACACATTGCATAGCAAGGGCATGTGGGGAAAGGACCTATCTTTGAGGACACAAACTAATGTCGGTGGTACAGTTTGGAATAACTTTGTCAAAAGGATTATGAGCTCTTTCAATAATAGTGATGGTGCTCTCCTGGAAATACAACCCATAGGTTTAGAAAAACTCTTCACAGAAGCAGGAAAAAAATGAACAGTTATACTAATTACTGCTCTAGAGTTGGGGACATGGCCATTAATGCTTTGTACCTCCCTGTAACGTCTAACACTTGTTCCAGCAGGAAATGGAGAAGCAGTGACATTTGATTTGGGGCTCTGTATTCAGTTTTTACTGTTATAAGGAACCCACCCAGTAAACACCCAGAGGAGAATCAAGCCTCAGACATTATTACAAACAGGGTATCACAAGTGACTTTAAAGTGCATAATTTATTTACTCTTGTCACTATCGCCTTAAAAAAAGAAGTGGGACACAGAAAAAGCAAACCTCTGAAAATGGAGTCCTCAGAATATTTTTTCCTTGTAAAAACACCCCAAATACTGATTCAGGCAGATCAGCTGTTTCAGTGAAAGTGAGATATGCCAAAGAAGTAACTAAGATCCAGGAAAACGTAAAATATTACCTTCTACTAGTCTTCTGGCAGAGGCCAGCATCAAAGCCATTGCCATGTCTGCTGTTGGGTCCGCCACAGCATGTGGGGTGTTGGTCACTTTTACGCCAAAGTTAGAAATCATTTTCAAGTCTAAATGATCGACTCCAACCCCAGAGTTTCCAATTACTTTTAAATTAGGCAGGCTTTCTAGAAGCTCCTGGTCAATAGTTGGCCTGCACTCAAACACAAAAACAGACTGGATTTTTTTGCTCATTTCCTTTTTGTTTTCAAGAAACTCCTTCATGGTGATGAGGTGAAAGTGTTTCTTCAAAAGCACTGCAAGATTTTCTAGCACACCATGAGTTCCCCCTATATCCAGAATCAAAACGCCCGGCAAGTCTTCTGCCATGACCTGCAACAGAGGAATAGAAGAAATATTCCTGTGTTTAGGAGAACACCCTTAAAGGAGTGATGCTGTAGTGATAATTTAAATTCACATCTGTAAGACAGGAAACTGATGGAATTCAATATTGCCTTTAATGAACAGAATAAATCCATAGTCCCTTGGTACTAGTGGTACATTAGACAACTTCCCAGTGTTTTCACTAACTGCTGATTTAGAATATAACACCAAGGAATATCCACCCCTTCAATCTAAACTCAGTCCTACAAGGTGTTCTTCTCAAACAGTTTCATTTTAGTCCTGAATCAATGTTGATCTTACACAAATATAGTAGCTTCTCAGCCTTATCCACAAATTCATTTCTATAAGCAGTGGTATGAAACAAAGGCTGATAGAAAGCTACTCAAAGTTTCTTGCCTATTGATGATACTTGGTGAAGCTGCAGATAGCGTAGGGAGGCACTGAGGCTCAGATGGGTCTGACAAACATCTGTCAGGAATGGGTTAAACCTAAGAAATTTGCATGATGAAGAGCCAGCTACCAGGCTGCTTGCCCTTCAATGCTCTAAACATCTAGATCTGTACCTGAACTTACCTCTTGCAAAATTTAGCATACCCATGCCTCCATGCTGAACCAGTGGGGAAGACCACATGGTAAGTACCACTGACAACAGAGTTGTTCATACTGATGTGGACTATTGTACAGGGGGGTTGTACAAGGGGGTTAGGTAAATTGTACAGGGGGGGTTGTACAAGGGGGCATTGCTTAAGTTACATAGCTTGCTTAACAGACGTATCGCTCAGCAAATACCTATCGTGCTTTACCAGGCAGTACCAGAACATAACCTCTTAATAAGGAAAACAGTTACTTAAGTTTTAGCAAAAACCATTTGGACAGAGACCAGACTCATCCAGGCTCCTAAGGAGCATGTGAGAGGACCAAGGGTGAAAAGTTCAGGTCAGAGGAAGACTCGTTTACTTCATCTGAAGACCCCTGCCCACAACCCCCAGGAGGCACTGCGTATGAGCAGAAGACCTTTGAGCTCATTATAATACAAAGCAGGAATAGGACATAAATATGTATAGGCGTATTGTGTAACCTAATGCATATGTAGAACTTTAGAGGATAAATGTAGAGGAAAACAACACTGAGGCCTGCATGCCTTTGGAGGAGTAATCCCCCGTGCATCTTCAGCTGAATAAAGGCATACTTACTTTACAACTTTAACAAGTTGTGGAGTCTATTCCGATATCAATACTAGAACTTTTCCCCTAAGGAGTTGTTTAGACCTTTACTCCTGCTGGATGGTTTTGAGCCTAGTCCTCTCTGCAATACTGTGCAAATGTATTGTATGCTGCAGTAAGATAGGAGCTCCACAGATAGCCATATGCCCAATTAGAGGTAGCCCTTACAGCTACAAAAATTGGTAGCTGAAGATTTGCTGCATGCCTTAAACACAGCTGTATTTAGTTTCTCACAATTCTGTTTGCTGTGCTCCAATCACTTTAGGTCTCTATCACATACTGTGTTCTAGACTTGGGTCCAGGACACCTGACGTTGCTCTAACAGAATCAGACTGACTTCTCACAAGTGTGCTGATTTAATCTGGGCACACAATTTTGGGCAGAGATTTTCTGCTGCTTCAGTCCTTTTACACAAGCCTTCACTAAGTAACCAGAATTCAAACCTGTAACAAAAAGTATCAATGCATATTGAAAGCTTCTGACAAATTGTATTTTCCCTTTTCCTGAGCAAACTCAGGCTTATCCCAACTGCAGCTGTTAAATGCTTACAACCTCAACATCAGCAACACCGCTTCTTTATCCTAGCCCTGACCTGCATTTCTGCCTCAGTTCCCATCTGCTGCCATACATGGGCTAGAAAGAGCCTCCATGTCAGGACAGGTCTGCAGTTCACCATGAGCAGTGTCTCTGGTAACACTGGTTCTGAACAGCAGCAAAGAAAGCAATGAGATGAATAGTGCAAGCATATTGCAAAGGAATACCACGTTCTTAAATATATCTATTTCTTGCCAACTGAAGTATGCTGAACCCACATATGCTTGTGAAAATTGTGCACATTTCCCCAGCTGTAATCTGTGTTATCTTTTACAGTATTACACAACATGACCTTAGAAGGATAAACTAGATTCGTATTCCAGAGTGAATTACGCACAGAATAAAAGACAAGATCTGATGTCATACTGTGAGTGTTGTCCAGCTTCTTGATAATCACAACTGATGCTCCTGCAGCAAGTTACTTAGACTGGACATCAACTAAACCTTATGCTGTAAGGCAGCACTGTATTACACCATTTGCTTTCATCACCACTCTCTCCTCCATTACACTACATCACTTACGAAGGTCAAAGTCAGATCTACATTAATTTTAGAAGCACTTCCTAAACTTCACAAGCAGACAGGTGATCCATGAGGAAGCCACAGTGCAGCGCAGTGATTCGGAGAAAACTACAGGAACAAACTTGCCAACAAAGTTTTCAAGCTGACAAGCAGGTATTCTTTATTGTGGTGCCAGGAGACACGGGGGATAGCTCCTCCTAACGTGTGTCTCTGTATTGCTATGCAAGCCGCCCTTACAGCCACTGGGCATACATACATATTCATGAGGTTACGTATGGATTACATTATTTTCCAGAAAGCTCCCCGCATGCGTACAGAATTGTCGTGGTGGTCTCTGAGGGTCGTTTACTTCTTCCAACAATCTTCATCACTTCTGGCAGCCTTTGAAGCATGCGCAGTAGATGCTTATACCTGCTTAATTGGTTTGTTAGCACCACAGACATAATAATCCTCCTGTCCTCCTACTTATCAGAGGGTTTAACCGGAACCCATCCTGGACACCTGCCATTCCCAGATACTTCTTATCCTTGCATACTGTTCTTCTAGACTGTTTTTCTTAAAACTACATCAACTATAACGATTTATCTTGTACAAGAATTCTCAGTATGTTCTCTAGCTGTACTCTATTTTTTTTCTATGTATCATGCACCTCAGTAATTTTCCATTGCTACTGTTACAAAGCCATCAAACTTAACATTACTTAAAACTGATTCTAAAGGTTTATATATTCCATTTTGTAATTTTGTGACCCCCCTTGTCTCAGCAGGAAGAGCTGGTTTAGCCTTAAACAAACCAGCTGGTGCATTAGAAACAGGCTAGTTGAGCCTAATTAATCTTTCATTAGTGCAGACATGCTAGTTCACCACAATTTCAGCCATGTTTGATGCTCACATGAGTCACTAACAGACTACAGCTTTGGTTCAAGAACTGGGTTCTGCTAGTCCAGGTACAATCTTAAAAAAATCATTGATAGCAGTAAACTAAAAACATTTAAAGGAACCTTTTAGAGGTAAGGGGGCTCTCCAGATACCAACCTTGGTGTGAGAAGCACTTATTGTTCTTCCTCCAGCACTACAGGAGTATGTCTTGTACCTCTGTTTGTAATCCACAGGACTTCTCCTGTGACAGCGATGTCCATGAAAAGCAATAGCTGGATGAATACATTTACAAGCCAAATTTGACTGGCCAAACATCAAGGGAATTGGTTTTAACAGACTGAATGCTTTGCTTCTGAGCATTATTACTCAGTTATTGGATGTCTTGTCCAGTGTGCTAAATGTAACACCTGTTAAGGATATGACAATTTGGGTTTTGGACTAGTATCATCTGCAATATTGCTAACTCTCTTCTTTAAAGCTGTTGCTCCTCACAGTTTCTATTTACGTAAGATTATATACTTCCATGTATGCGTACATCTATAATCACATGTAACGCTGATATAATGTATGTGTACTAAATTCTGGTGCTTGCATGGCAGAGAAAACTTTGAAAATATGACTCAGATTGAGACAAGTAACAAATATAAAGGACTGCATTTGAGTATTAACTTGAAGTGGCCTTACTTCTTTTGTTGAGTGTGACTCACCACTTACTTGCTGTATCACTTTGGAGTTAGCCAAATCATAGCAAAATGATTTTGCTATGAGAGTGACAGGACAGGGGGTAACAGCTTTAAGATGACAGAGGGGAAACTGAGATGAGATCTGAGGAAGTTCCTTCCTGTGAGGGTGATGAGGCCCTGGCACAGGTTGCCCAGAGAAGCTGTGGCTGCCCCATCCCTGGCAGTGTTCAAGACCAGGCTGGACGGGGCTTGGAGCAACCTGGTCAGGTGGAAGGTGTCCCTGCCTGTGGCAGGGGTTTGGAGCTGGATAAGCTTTAGGGCCCCTTCCAACCCAAACCACTCTGTGATTCTATGATTGTATGAAATAAACCTATGTAATTTTCCCTAGCTGTTTCAAGTTGCAGCCAACAGCATACGCTACCCAGAATAAATCCATCCCACTAACTTCTCTATAGAAGAAAGTGAATTACTTAAGTAACCACCGCAGAATTAACCGGGGCTTGTTTCTTACTTACTTTCCGGTGTTCCTGTCGCAGCTCGACTGAAGGGCAGCGGGCGGAGCTGGCAGCTCACAGTTCCGGATCCCAACGGGGCACATCCGCGCTGCCCCTGCAGCCCCGGCTGGTCTTCGGTCTGGGTAGGGGATCAGCGGCTGCTTCTATGGGGGCAGCTGCGGTCAAAGTGCTTTTGTCTGTAACAAGACGAGACGACCTGCCTTCTCCTCTCATGCTGTCGGCACTGAGTTGTCTAGAAAGAGGGCTCACAAACCGAGGGTTTAATAGCGTTTGCAGAGCTCCGCAGTTCTAGGGCCAAGTAATTTGGTACAAATTGATGCTACTGTCCTAGGACTGTTCCCCAAGCCGTAGCTCAAGTTTGTGTGGATTTTTTATAGTGGCAAATATGCGTTTCACATATTATTCTGCAAGCTAACCTTTTAAAGGAGTGCATGGTGTAGATTAGAATTGTAGATTCACAGAAAGGTTTGGGTTGGAAAGGACGTTAAGTTATTCTACCCCCCTGCCATGGGCAGGGACACCTCACAATATACCAGGCTGCTCCAAGCCCCGTCCAACCTGGCCTTGAACACTGCCAGGGATGGGGCAGCCACAGCTCCTCGGGGCAACCTGTGCCACAGCCTCAGCACCCTCACAGTAAAGAATAACAGCACCAGAATAACATACAAGCCCTCCAGAAAGCAAGATCGGCCTGGGATGCGCAATCTTAACAGGCAGCTCAGTTCTGTAACCTAACGCTGAAATGCCCACGTTTCGCGGCCGATGACTTCAACTGAAACATTCACCCAGTGTGTTCAAGCACTCCCTATTTAGTGCTCCCAGCCGTCCCACCACCCCTCCGAGCCCCCCATCACACTTGGCGTGGCGCGGTCCAAGCACCCCCCCCCCGCCCCTTCGACGCGCTCTGCCCCGCCCACTGACGGAAACCCCGTCCCGAAAGCGCCTTTCCCAGCGTGCCCGGCAGCGGGAAAGACATGCGGTTATTTCCGCTTCCTCTCACGCTGTGCCTCCGTCCTCCCGTTTCACCGAGAGAAGGAAGCCCGAGGGGTGCGGCGCGTACGGCGTGCGGCTGAGTGGGGCGGGGGCGCGGGCAGGGATGGGGGTGAGGGGACCCGGCCCTGGCGCCGATGGCCGCCGGCGCATTTCAGGGCCCCAGTGGGATGGCAGCACTGCTGTGCCGCTGAATGGAGGGTTAGGCCTGTGGGAGTGTGGCGGGGGTACCGCGCGAAGGCAGGCCGGTCTGTCAGCTCCCGGGCGGTCGCTGTTGTCCCGCAGGCTCGCCACCCGCCCTGCAGGATGTCGTACATGTTGCCGCACTTGCACAATGGCTGGCAGGTGGACCAGGCCATCCTCTCGGAAGAGGACCGAGTCGTGGTCATCCGCTTTGGGCATGACTGGGACCCGACCTGCATGAAGATGGATGAAGTCTTGTACAGTATTGCTGAGAAGGTAAACTGGGGCTGTAATGTCAGGCGATTGTTTTCTGCGCTGTTTCAAAGGGTTTATACAAAGCCTGAGGCAGGTTATAACTCGGTTTCTGGAAAGGTATTCCAGCTTTAGGAGGCACCGAGAAAGTTGCTTGATTGATCTGTGAGCGACTCCTAAAGTCATTGACTACCCTGGTGTTTGTAGTATTTAATGTGGGGAAATGAGTGTTGCAAATTCTGAAATTAAAATTGCCCGTTAATAATCCATCATTTAATGAACGTCAGCATTCAGGCAGAAACAAGTGTTTGATAGCAGAACTGCTGTGGTTCTAGATAATGCAGCACTTTCACTTTACAATGAGAATGCATAGTAGCTTCTGATTTCCATTTAAACAACTTGAAAAGTTACTTTCATTTTGACTCTTAAAAATTGTGACATCCTAAAATGCGCAGGAAGATGTTGATTAATCTGTCAGTGATAGTATTCATGGAGACAGATGGCATTCTATTGAGTTGTATGGGCTGAAGTAAATTTTAGGAGCCAAGCTCTGAAGCTGTTCTCAGACAGAAACCAAAAGCCTGCTGAAAGCTGATCACTCACATAGGGAAGATAGATCTTGAAGGAAAACTTGAACTATTAACATGCAGAATTAGCTATAGTTTGCCTTTTCATGTATTTGGTAAAGGTTTTGCATAGTAATAGATGTAGGAAATTGATAGCTGTTCTTTAACTAGATCACATAGAAAATGATGGGAAAAAGCCAGTAACTTGGGTAGGAAAAGGAGTTGACTATCTTCATGTAAAATTGTGCACATACTGCATAACTTGATATCGAGTTCTTTTTGTGGTGTACCCCTTTCTGGTTTAGTGCTATTTTTAAGTAAATGAACATCTGTCTCGAAGCCCCCTACAATGAAAGATCTAAACCTATAGCTAACTGTTAAGATAGATTACAGTAAGGAGTTGTGACATGATTTGGTTTAGTTGTTTTGTGTTTAACGTGTTGGGAGTGTCTTATGCTCAGGTACTGTAAGTATCTTTTGGCAAGATACAGCAGACATATTGGCAGTTAGGGGTGACTGGGGGAAGAAAGAACAATATAACTTCTTATCTAAAAATCTCCCTCTGCAGAAATGGCAAATTAAAGGGGGAGATCCTTCCTCATCTTCTTGCTTACAAGCCATGTTTGGATCTCTGCTGTTTTAAAGAGTGAGTAAAAGTTCCAATTGTACAGGTGTTTATACTAGAGAATATTACAGAACGTTAACATGCTGTAACTGCATGCTACATTTGAAGAAAATGTAGCCATATTTTACATTTGTTACCATGGTGCAATATTCTTTCAATCTGCAGTGTATTTTTGGGTAGCAGTAATATTTATCTGTACTTTACAGTAGAAAAATGGTAATTTTTCAGTCTGTATCCTCTTTGGAGAAAGGAAGCTAGAACACTGTATGAAAATACAAAGAGGTTTATTTTCACTGAAATGTGCTCCACTTAGAGTTGAATGTTCTGTTCCACCTCCTGTGTTAAATGAAAAAGAAGCTAGGTTTCACTCAGTGTCAAAACAAATGACAATTGTAAGATGTTAGATTTTTGCTTTGTCAGGGTTGCAACCAAAAAGCTAGGAATTAAGTTTCAGAAAATTCCTCTGAACACCTTTTTTAAAAACATACCCTTTTTTTTTTTTTTTTTTAAGGAAGGCTCACAATTATAAAACTTCGTCCCCTGAAACACAGGGCTTTGGCTGCTAAATTACTTTAATACCACTTTTTTTAGGAAATACCTTAAACCCATGATTTATCTAGGACTGAATACTGTAAATTGGATAACCTCTTGTGAAACCAGCTTACTTTAACAGATGGGTCAGTATGGGTTTAGGGAGGATTGTTCAAATGTTCTGCTTTTATTTAACTATAATCAGAAGTGTGAATAGCTGTGGCTTTTGCTCAGACATTAGTTGTGCCTCTGCCTTTCTGCTAAGGTTACATGAACGAAAAGTGAGAGAAGAAAAGAAGGGGGGGCAGGGAGGAGGAAGCTATAAAAAAAAGCATATTGGTATTAGAATTACTGGTGCTTATAATTAAAGTTGATCCATTTACTTATGTCTGTAGTTTTCAAAATTATTAGCTGTAAGCATTTTTCTCAGCAGTATAATGTCTTTCTCTTTTCCCCAGGAAATTTGTCACCTAAACTTGCAGCAAAATTAGCAAGAAAAAAATTCAAATAAATATGTACAGTACAGACTCTCAAGTTTGTACTGTGTTTGCAGCCTCTTTCAGTTCAGTAATGCAAGTCTGCTAGACGCCTTCAACTTGAATGTTTTGTTGCAAAGGCTAATCTCAGTTCCTGCACCTTTTTTTTCCCCCTCTGATTTGCTTGTCTATAAAGACATATAAACATAAAAAACATTGTCTGAAAACTGGTTAGCAAGATGAGAAAACAGAATCTTGTCTCAGATTTTCATAGGTATTTGCTGTATACACTTTGGACCATAAGGTAATGTTATGCTTGTGAGATTTGCTTCTAATAGGAGCCAAATCTTAACAACAACAGCAAAGTATTACTTACCCCTAACAGAAATTTAAGGAAACTTCATGATTGTTACCATTCTTTCTAGTCATTGATCAGATATTGCTGTAATAATCTCATGTTATAGGAATGCATGACTTCTTTTTTGAATGGCATTTCTAATGAAGAAAGTCAGGAGGGAAAACTTCGGAGGAAAAGTGAGATTTAGTTAATCTGGCATATGATTTTTTTTCTAAGTCTGTTTCCTATTTACCAGCAAAGTGTGTGGTCTTGTATCAAGATCAGACTGAAGAATCTGTATCTGATGTTAAGAATCCTATAGATACACTGTATTTTACAAGGTTAAGTACTTTCAGAATGAGTTTGTGTTATAATGTATTCAACTTCTAAAATGCCACAAGATTTGTTGCATATTTTCTGGGCAGTAAATTTTTGGTTTATTTTAACAATGTTAATATAGTCTCAGTTGCTACAACTGCAACTGCTTTTATTTAGAGCGGTTTGCTTGCTCCAAGTTGTATTTAATTCTTGTTCTGAGGCCTCCATATTATATCCATAGTTATAACTCAGAAAGAGAACCTCTTAGCAGCCGCTGCCTTGAAACGATAGCAAGCTTATTCTGTGTAAGAATGTAGTTTTTTGAACTGACAACTCTGTCTGGGAAATAGATTCACGTCCCAAAGGATGGGGAGAGGTTAAGCTTTGGTTTGTCTTTACAGACTTATTAGTTCACATATAGATCCAACATACATAGAAGCCTGAATCCATGAATACGTAAAATTGCTTTTGCTTAAAATGAAGCCTAAAGTAAAGCCTTGTGAATCAGAGCTGTCTGCATATGAAGCCATCTGGGATACTGCTCTATACTGCTGTGAAGCTGGCTCAGTACTTCTGTATCTTGGCTCTAATGTGTCTGAGACAGTAAGTGTGTCTTCAGGCTGTAGAACTGGTCAGTACTGTGCAAAGACACATTTGAGTAGTTCTGCAGGGCTTGTCTTCTGCTGAAATAAAGTACCTCTTGGTAACAAGTCTACCCTGTCTGGCGTGGTGATGTCTAGACAAGTAGATATTAGGGTCACTGCAGCACTTCTGCGTCACCTTTCTGTATTTAGCCTCTTATCCATGTTTTTATCTAGTTTATTCTTAGGCCTGAATCCCAGCCTCCTGCGGCTGCATATATTGAAGTGTTGCACGGCCAGACCCATATCACAAGCAACCTTGGCAGCCAGTGTCCAAACTCAACAAAGCACATCCTTGTGGTTAATCTTGTCAGATAGGAAATTAAGCCAGCAAGGGGGAAAGAACAGAGCCAATTGTAAAAGTTCCAAATTTAAATTTGAGAGTCTGTATGAAGCTTTGAGGTCTGCTTTAGATTTCATACAAGCTTTTTGAGTAGGCAACTGTCATCAGTTTCACTTCTATAAAAGGAGGTAGGAGAGAAAGAAGATTCAGTTAATGTCTGAGATACTTGGTGGTAACTTGTGTATGTGCTGTGCAAAGGTGATTTGAGGGATCCTTGAGTCCTTTTGAGTAACTCATGTAGTATCTTAGACTTGAATAGTCTAGTTCTCTTTTTTAAGTTCTTAGGCTGTTACTGTTCATTGCCAATGACAAGCATTTCTGATTCTGAAACAGCTCAACTAAATTAAATGTATAATAATGTAAAATTAACTTTTAAAGTTTTGTTGTTCCAGTGCTATGTGGAAGTAATCTTTCAGTGTAGCAGTGCTTTTGTAGTGGCCTTCCGGTGCAACATACAATCACCTTGGACTAATCTTTCAGTGAATAGAGCAGGTCCTAAGAATGTTGTATTAATGCTTAGTTTAACTTAAAATTATTTTCTGATCTCCAAATTAAATAATTGTTCAAAGATTGTGTAGTGTGCCAGAATTGCCGAATGTGTTGTAGAAATTTCCCTACATGGCAGAGCTGGGCTACTGTTGCTGAAAATGCCAGCCGCATGGAGTTAAAAAGTGATAGGAGGAAATGAAAATGGCTCTTCAGGTTTTGGCTTTAAAAAAATCCCCCAGAACAACAGCAAACAACCCATGCACAGTTGTCTTTTGCCTCCTAAGGCTAACCAGGGAGTAACTTCAGTCGCTTCTCAGCTAAATTGTTAACTCTGAACATTCCATTACATTTCTTAGAAATCTCTCATATAAAACTTTAATGGGCACAAATGATCACTTCAGAGGGTGTTGATATTATGACTAAATCAGATTTTCAAGGCTTTTCCTCTTGCCTGTGTTGGAACATGGCTTAAATGGGATCTTTTCATTGGATTGACAGAGTCTAGGGTTTAACTGGCTCCATAAAAGCACAGAAAAAGCATAAAAGAACTATTTTAATGCTGTTTCACATCAGAAGAAATTTTCTTTTCCTTGCTAGTAATACTTACTGAAGTGTGATGATTTTTTATAATGTACCAACTCTCTTGAAGCAGAAGTCCATAAAAAGTTACTTACTGATGCTTCTGGGTGGTTTGTTTGTTTGGGGGTTTTTTTGTAACTAAACATCTCCATACTTTCTCAATTAAAGTGCCTGATAGGATGTTTATGTATAGGGTACACCATATATAATACTTTTCTGGTGCAGCCTAATCCTGTTTTGTGGACTAAAATAAGACATCTTTGCATAAGCAGAAGTTAAACTCATCAAAGCATTTCCAGACATTTGATAGCATAATTAACAAGTAGGAAGTACTGTGACAAACAGTAAGTTTGTCGTAAATCTTAGACAACGTGTTAATTTCAGGATGGTAATTTTGTGTATTGAGGTGGAAAGGACTGAAATTGCGTTTGGACAGGGTAAACAATGTTGTGCGTTGATGGTATAATGCATGAGCATTTGGTAATACACCTTGCAGTTAAATGCTTGTGCAATTTTAGATGCCTGTACATGTACGAGCTAAGTTTAGAAACTAAAACTTCTCCTACTTCCACTTCAGGTCAAGTATGCTACATTTAGGAAACAAAAATGTGACATGGTTTTGGTTTTCGAATGAAGACTTTAACTATGACATTAAAGGGGAGGGATTCTTCTATGTTTACTCAGTAACTCTGCAAAGTGAAAGCCTATTTTACCAGAATTGCCCAGAGAATAGCTTCTCATCAAGATCTTTTATTCATTATCAATTACATTTTTAAGCTCTGTTTCTAGCTTTACACCTCAGAAAAGCTATTAGGTTTTATTATTAAATTTATCAGTTTTATTTTCACTCTAAGAGTCTTGTTAAACAAATCAGATGGTTTAGAGGGAAAAAATGCTCGAAGGCGGGCACTCTAGGGCATTTTAGATCATTAAGTTTGTGAAGTCTATAAGCAGCTGATGACAGAGGCAACATGTGCCAGCTTGGCTTGCACAAAGCAGTTATTCTACTTGTTTAGAGCTGTGCATATCACTGCAAGGTCTCAGTTATATATAAAAGGGCATTTGTTTCTCTGGATACTGATTTAGCATAGTATCTTTTCAGTTAATGCTGGATGTGAAATGAACATCTTGGCTGTATTTAAGAATATTTTTTATGTTAATTGGTGGCTGTGGTTCAAAGTAATGGCAAGACTTGTTTACTGTGATTTTATAACTTAATATTTTTGGAAAATAATGAAAGTTTGTCTTTTAATTGGTAGTACAAATAATCAAAAACTTGGTTATATAATACTTTAATATTTCCTGTCTTCTGTTCAGGTAAAAAACTTTGCTGTTATTTATCTTGTGGATATCACTGAAGTACCAGACTTCAACAAGATGTACGAGTTGTATGATCCCTGTACCGTCATGTTTTTCTTCAGGTACTTGATGGTTCTAGCAGTTAAATTTTTGGTGTGTCAAATTCAGTTTTGCAGTAAATAATTTCTAAATGCATATTAGTATACTGATGTTTATATTTTCATTGCTCTACAAAGAGAGTAATCCAATTAAATAGGAAAATGGCTTGTTTTTCAGTTAGCTTAGTAACAGTGTTTTAATGGTAGAGTACAAATTACTGATAGTGAAAGCTGGTTTTGTTATCCATTGTTTTGAGTTTTAAGTCTGAAGCTCCCTGTGTAGAATACTGCAGTAATGTGGCAGTCAAGCTTGTTAAACTTGCTTTAAAGATACACCCAAAGCATTAAGTTGGTTTTGGAGCTAAAGTATCTACGTTGATGAGCCATAATGTGCACCTGAGAAGTGTAAAACTCTCTTTGATGTTATACAGTAGTGAGTAATAAATACAGGCAATGAGGAATATGCTAAAGAATAATTGCACTGGGTAGCAATCTTGGGGGCATGTTTGCAGTCATTATTCTAGCTTCAGAAATAGTTTGAGTGACAGGAGTGGTTGCTCTTTCTTTGAGATGATTTTGCAAGCTCGTTTATATTATAAGGGCTTCATTTGAATCCTACAAAATGTTCTTGGGGATGATAGGAAGTTTCTGTCCGAATTACAATACAATATTAACTTGCTTTTTTTTTTTCTTCCTCTAAAGGAACAAACACATCATGATTGATTTAGGTACAGGTAATAACAACAAGATCAACTGGGCAATGGAAGATAAGCAAGAGATGATTGACATTATAGAAACTGTTTATAGAGGAGCCCGCAAAGGTCGAGGTTTGGTGGTATCACCAAAAGATTATTCCACTAAATACAGATACTGATTTTTCTTTAGGGTTGCCTTTTTTTAAACCCTACATCCAGTTAAGTTTATTCTTGTGTATGTGTGTACATATATATATATATTAAAAAAAAAAGCAAACCTAACAACTCCTTCAACTTTGAGTATATTTTGAATTATTTAAAAGGTTTGAATTTCATTTGGAAAAGAAGAAGATGCAAAGCCTGGAACTGTCTGACTGCAGTAGTACTTGCTGTAGATTAATTTTGGGTTGTTGGTGGTTTTTTTTAATTTTTAAAGACTTTACTCTGTGGTGTCCTTCTGGCATTATGTAAGACAAACAAAAAGCTTGTTTGCAGAAAATAATTTCAACTGGTTTTGTTTTCTTTTGTACATAAATAGATGGTAAAACTATACTACAACTTTTTATAAAATAAAGTGAATTCCACTTATTCACCTTAATTTTCTTTAGATAATTAAATTTGAGAAAGAAAACAAATTCAATTGGATGCAAAGTCATAATGTTGAAGATAAAAGCTCATCACTTCTGTTGGAATGTTCTTGCATAGTATCTTGGTCTTCTGTATCCACTAAAAATAGACTAAACCACTAAGATGCATTTATTAATATTTAGCTCAGAGGAAAAAAACTCAAAGAAGTTGACTGTGTGCACGCATGCGCCCCAATCAACTAAATTGATTTGTGGTGATGGATATGATTCTTCATGATAATTATGCATATGGTAGTAATTTTGAAGTACTTAGTAGATTCTGCAGTGCCAAAGGGTAATCGCAGTTCTGGAGCCGGCTGCATAGTCAACAGCTGAAGTAAGGATGAGATGTGCTTTCTCTCATTTGACCTCTGGTTTGACTGATGGTATACTAAAATGCATATATACTCATGAGACTTGGATTTGATTACACTGTGGCATGTATTTTAAAATGTCCATTTTTGACCACTTTAGTTTTTGTCGTCATGGAGCCAGTGTTGCTTTTCTAACTGATACATGCATATGTGTGGGATGAAGAAAAAAACAAGCCAGACTATGCAGAAAAGAGATAGAAACTGGACCAAAAGCACAGGTCACAAGACAAAATCAAATATGCTTTTTTTTTTTTTACTGTAAAGTTCATTTTTTAGAGGATTTAGACTAAGCTGAGGCAGTAAAGTACAGGTTCCCAGTTTCTGTTTAAGTTAATCTTATTTATAGTTGCTATTAATTATGAAATCATTTATGTTGGAAGGGGCCATCCACCTCCCAGTCAAAGTAAATCACACTTGATCAGATTGCCTGGGACTATGTCCAGTGTTGAATATCTGTAAGGATGGAGATTCCTCAGTCTTTCTGAAAAGCCTGTTCTGCTGCTGGAGCACCTTCGTACTTGAAAAAAAGTGTCCCATGCATCTAGCTGGAATTTTCTGCATTCCAGCTTGTGTCTGTAACTCTCTTACATAAAACACCTCCAACGAGAGCCTTAACTGTTCTCTGTGCTCTACCATAGGGTAGTTGTTGTTAGCAGGAAGCTACAGTCTTTTTGTAAGGCTGAACTACTGGCATTTTCTCAAACCCTTGTATGCTTTGTACTTCACCATATCTTGGTGGCTGTCTGTTTAAATTCCCCCATAACAATATGTTTCCTGAACTGGGGAACCCCCAAACTTAACACAGTATTCTGGGTATGGTCTCACAGGAGTTGAACAGAGGGGAATGTCCTACTGGCTCTACTTTTGCTGATGCTGACCAGCATGTGGCTGCAGCCCAAGGCATTCTGCTGATTCATGTTCAGCTTGTCTGCCACACTCCTTTCCTGACAGCTAGCCTCTTACAACTGTTCTGCAGCATAAGTTTACCCTGTCCTGGAGGTGAGGCTTGGTACTTGCCTTTGAACTTCATGAGGTTCCTGTTGGCCCATTCCTTCAGCCTGTCCTCAAGAATTTAATCCTTCCCCTCCTCCTCCCCAGTTTGACATTTCTAGCCAATCTACACTGATTAAAGCACCAATGAAAATGAGTTCTTTATATTAATGAAGACTCTTTAATAGTAACACCTGCTGAAGGTTTAAAAAACATCCTTTATTTGTTGAGGTAATATATTTTTATTTTCTTCAATTTCTATTCTAATTTCTTCAAATTTTTGTTCTACTTTTTTTCAATTTCTACATTTGTTGTAAGAGGTTCCCATTAAGTTTCAAACAAAAGCTTTCCTGCAAAAAGTGCCAATGTTTTGGTGTGCAAGAACCTTAAAGTTAGTACAGATTTCCTATTTTCTTTGATTCTGCCATGTCTTGTTCAGGACACATTTGGTAACTAGAATTCCTTATCTATGTCAAAGCCTTTAAAATAGGCATTTCATCAAAATGTCCAATGTTAAATAAATTAAATAGGCATAATATACATACCTGGATGATGTTATCTGCACAGGTGTGCACAGCTTTGAGTGAGCTTGTGAAAACAGCTGTACAACTGATCTGTGGAAATACTGCCATATCTTCTAGTGCAGAACAGGCTATATGCCTTTGAAGTTTTGCAAAGACACCATTGTAGTAACATCAAATAAGGTATATTTAGTGTAGTGTAAAACATTTAAAGAAACGTCAAAATGGCACATGCAATGAGAAAAGGTTTGTCATAGAAGCATCTTGTTATTCTGAGAACACTTAAAAAGGCAACAAAAAATAAGGAAATTTTAATGTTATAGAAATAAATGAAATACATTTTCATACATTGGAGAAGTTAGTGACTGGACAAGTTCACTATGTAGGATATAGTTTTCTATCCAAAATAGTGGTTTTGCCTTCCCTGAAACTAGCTGTTCTTTATGACAGGAAATACAGCATCCCATTTAGATGAATAAACCAAGCTTTCTACAGGACAGTAGGTTTGGTAGTTTTTTTTTAAAGAGATAACTATCATGACATGATGCAAGCATGTTAATTAACATTTTTCATGTCTAGCAACACCCATTGTGAACTCCCCAATCCAGTGCAGTGCTGTTCTCCCTTTGTCTTTCTTGATCACATCCCATTTCATTGCTGCAAAGAAACAGTAAGTAGGTTAGTGATTTAATCATGAATGTGATTCAGCATAAAAATAGGAAGATCTCTGTACAGTTAAATACATCTTCATGGATTGGCTTTCTGTATTTCTAAAAATTATTTCGTAACACACACGCAAAAAAAAGGCATCAGAACAAACAGATGCTTAAATTACTTCAGTAAATTTACATTCTTGTCTTTGGCTGGGTAAGCAGCCTCTAAATGACAAAGAGTAACTGATGTGTCAAGTTTGAATCAGGAAAGCATGCCGCAACAGGAAGACGACCTTACTGGCACCCACAGAACATGGAAGCAATACTGTCTTGTAAATACTAAGCACACCAGGGCATCATAAGGGAGTGAGTGGGGGTGGTATTTGCAGCAGACAGTGATATAAAATCCAGCATGCAATCCTGAACTTGTATTACAGACTATCTGGCAATACCACTGAAGTTATCCTTGCTTCTTCCACCCCTCGTCTTACTGCTGCAAGAACAAACTACTGCTGTGTTTGGGGTGAATGTATTTAAGTGGTGGTCTCTGAGCCATGCTGGAAAGCTGAAGTGGTTTAAAAGCAGAGGTACATAAATTTATACCAGTGAGAATCCTCAGTCAGCTAGGTTAGCTTACTTGAGGGCTAGGAATGGTGGGCAGGAGCGCTTTAAGCCACGCACATTTTATTCCAGATGTACAGCCTCAGTTTTATATTTGGGATTAGTATGCACTACCCCATGTATATGGCACTCAGCCGGAAGAGATGCAGCAAGCTAGTTTTGCTTTTGAAAACTTGGTAGCATTCTTTCCTCTTGGCAAAAAGAAATCCAAAATATTTATAATTTTGGGTTTTGTGGGGTTTTTTGTTTGTTTGGTTTTTTTTTTAGTTGCAGTATCCTTTAAAATCCAAGTACCAATACAAGGTACGATTAATAAAGAGTATTTTCATGCTAGGAGCTGCCCATAGTTCAGAACTAAGTGGAAATATCTAAAACACAGTAAAAAGTAAGTTTCGTTACTCTTACTTTTTCATCGGTGTTTTCTATCCCAGCCTCTGTCATCAGGTCAGCAACGTGCTTCTCAAGGTCATCAATGCGCTCACCCATTTCTTCCAGTAAAATGTTAAAGATAACTTTTTATAAATCTAGAGTAAGGTGGGCTTTTTTTTTTCTTCTGTGAGAAAAACAAGCAGCTTTCTTCCACATACTTCAGCCTCTTACATTTAATGCAAGATGAAGCATGGACAAGGTTGTATGCCCACTTCCTCTTACAACAGATAAGAGATAAGCATTTATGTTCCTCTTCTTTTCAAATGCCTTCCTGTATCCCCATGAGCAAGCTGGAGTATTTTCTGTGTAAGAGATTGCTTTCTTTATGAAGAACTGTTTTAGGTGATTCCATGCAGCCAGCCTACACAGAGTATGAGTGCTGCTTGTATTCTGATTACATAAAACATTATGCTCATATTCATAAATCATGGAATGGTTTGGGTTGGAAAGGACCTTAAAGACAATCCAGTTCCAATCCACCTTCCACTAGATATTCTGATCATATAAAACATAATTATTTTCTTGCACTAAAGCAGCCACTTCCTGAGAGGTCGAGTTTCAGGAAAAAATGGAAAATGTAATAAATTCTCCATTTCAGAAAGTAGAGGTGGTTTCTGCAAGTACTTCTAATGAGCAAGCTCAGAGCACCTTCAGGTATGATTTTCTCCTTTTCAGGGCGCATCTTCCTGTGCTCAGGAGGTCTTTAGGGTTTACTAAGAGTAAAGGGGTAAAAACGGGCTTTGGGGGCAATTCGTCTGTCTTTACATCATAGCGCTTCGCAACATCAATTATTACGTTTTAATTTGATGGCTAAGGGAAAAAAAAATCGCCCAGACATTAAAAGGCAAAGCTCCTCTTCACATCAGCGCGCAGGCGGAGTACCGGGCCCGGTTCAAGCGGGGCAGCCGCAGCCGTAGGAGCGTGAAACCCGTCCCGTGGGGCTAAGTAACCCGGCCCGAAAGAGGATATTTCTCAGCGTTATCTTTTCAGTCAGAGCCTGGAAATTCTCCTGCAGCTGATTCAGCAGGTTTTCCGCCTGCGGGTGAAAAACAGAGAAACACAGAATGCAGGGGCCCCGGGGTGCCTGCCGCTAGACGCGTGTCCTCCCGCCCCTCTCCGCCGGCTTCCTGCCCTTCTCCGCTCGCCTGTCTGGGAGGACCCGCAGGCGAGGCGGCCCCGGTGCCGGGCAGACGCCCACGCAGGCGGAACCCCGCAGCAAACGGGGCCCCAATCTCGGCCCCCGCTCCGCGCCGCCGGGCTCACCAACTGCGAGAGGTCTCCGGCGCCCGGCGGGTCGGCGGCCGCCATCGGCTCCGGCTCCGATCCACCGTCCGCCTCCCTGGCTGCGGCGGGGCGGGCAGGTGAGTGCCCCGCCTGGAGCCGCCGGCGGGAGAGGCAGCGAGGGAAGAGGATGAACGATTAAGCCCTGTTCCTTTATTCCCAAAGAAATCGTAGTTCTACAGGGTAATAACTAAATAAGGATGTTGGAGTTTGATCTTCAGAGATCTTCTTACGATTTCATGGGGCTGAAGTGAAGAAAAATGCTTGTATACCAGCAAAGTTTAAGTTTGGTGTTTTGGTTTTAAGGTTTGTTTCCTTTTTAACATGTAATTAGTTTTGCAGCACAGAGTGGTAAAAACACCGTGCGTGTTGGGAATTCCTTGCACCAGGATGTCTGAAGAGACAAGACCGAAGGTTATCTGCATAAATTGGGCGGTGCCTCTTGCAGTCGTGCTTGCATGTAGGTCATCCCTCGCAGCTTCACAGCATAAAAGGCTCCTGGTGCATCTACTGCAGATGTGTTTTGTTGTGTACACAGGTGGCCAAGTGCCGCAACTGTTGCCTAATGTAAAATGGAGATGTTTTTAATGTACTGGGCTATATGGTTAGGAGAGTATTACTGTTGGGCAATAGCTTTCCTTAGCCTATTACTTTATAGATACACCAAACATGTAACAATGCTTTCATCCGCAAAGTTTCTGAGTTAGAAATGACCTCAAATACTGGAAGATTATCTCCTATAAGCCTACCACTTAGAATCCTTCTTAAAAAACTTAATTATCTTCTTTCTTGACCTTCCCCACCTCATTTGGGAAGGCATGTTAATCTCTATGGTGATATTTGGCATCAAAGCCAACTTCTGCATTGCTGCCTGGCTTCTCCTTTCTGCATCCTTATGTTCCCAGTCTTGCAGATTTTCCTCTTTATCTTTCTCACTGTAGAAAGAAAACTCAAGCAAATTTTGTACAGCTTCAGTGCTCCAGCAGTGTTACTGCTCTAGAAAGCTTCTAGATAAAACAATTTGAACAATAATAGGCATAAGGATATGTTTTGCATTAGTATGTAGCCACATAGGTGCAACGACATAGCTTATTTTGTTCTGTGGCATAAATAAGAAGTAACAGTTGTTGCTTCTTATCTGTTTATTCATTGCTAATCTCATTTCCCTTAGGGCTAGGTAGTAAAATTGTACTATTTTTCTATTTTTACTGCTGGTAACCTGTCTGCTTGTGTCCAGATATCTCAAACAAAGTCATAGAGTCCTATTTGCAGTGAAGACCTTGCAGGGGTGAAGAAACAGCTGCAAATGTGGAGGAGCAAGCATTACACAGCCAACGAGTTTGCAAGAATTGCACTAAAACTTTGTAGCACCACATTTTATCAGTGCCTAGGTTAGGGTTCAACTGAAAACAAACATTACTTGGTAAAGGTTTTTTGTAAATAGCTCCCCTTGTTTGTGAGGCAGGTCAGGGGGGTTGGAGCAAAATAACATGGTATCCAGCCAGCCCAGCAATGGAATAAAGATAATTAAAAGAGTGAAGGAGACTGAAGTCAATATTTCACCATGCATTTCCCCCTCCAGAGCTCTGGTTCTTTTACTCTGTGGACTCCACAGCTAATTTGAATGGTCCTCCGAGTTCAAATCTTGAGCAGAATTGGGCAAATGGTCTGCAGTTGGATTTATGGAATAAAAATGAAGTGTCTGTAAACCAAAAAAAAACTGTAATGGAAAAGTTCCAAAGTTCAGAAAATGTAAGAATAGAAAAGAGCAAAAAGACTTTGCTTAACACTTAATTCATTTAAAATAGAACTAGTGCTCTCTGCTGCCGTCTTATTTCCCCCTCCTCAGAGGGCTCTGTTTTTCAGTGTTGAGCTGTTACCTGCATTTCCAGGGTCTGAAATCTGGGAAGGTGCACCATATTTTAAAAGCATTAATCCATGTTAGGCATGCATCCACACACTAAGGAAAGCCAACAAAGAAAGCTTTTGTTGTTTCAAAAGCAGAGGTTTACCTGAGAACCAGTAAACAACCAGTCTTACTGGTGCTCATGAAAGTATTTACTGCAAAAAGTAAGGAATACTTCATTTACTAAAAAGGTACCAAGAAGTTCATGTTGGCAATTAATACCAAAACAGGTCTTGGGGAACAAAAGCAAAGATTTGACAATATAAATTAATTTTCCATGGCAAAACATGGCTGATGCTAGTTTCTTCCAGTAAAAAGCTTAGACTTTAGAAACATTCAATTTACATATGTCCTCTTGTTATGAAGCACATGAAGTAAAAATAAGAAGTAGGGTGACCTAGAGGCTGGGGAGCCATCTGTTTCCATCCTGTTTCACAATCATGGGACTGTGCTGTAAAATCTTTACATTGTGCTTTTATGCTGAAATGATACCCAAAGTGTGTTTCTCTTGCTCTTTCCTAGGGAAATTCCAGTCCCTCCAATGCTGGAGGGAGGACAGGAAGTAAAAGTATGTTTAAATATTTATAGTCCTAAGCTCCAAGTTCAATGACACTACTATCCAATGCCATGCTGTAAAAGCCTGCGGTGTGGAGTGGCAAAAGAACTGGTTTGCAGAAATGCATTGCTCTTACTGTTTGGATGTTACATAAAGTCTCTTCCCTCTTCTCTTTGCTGACAAGTAAGATTTTATAAAGCAGGGGTCAGGAATCCTTTTGTCATGTACTCCAAGCTCTGGCCTGCTTTGGAATGGATGTGAGGACACAGAGAGGACATCGGGGGGGGGGGGGGAGAAACACCCTAATATTACATGTGTGGCAGGAAAGGAAACAGGAAATATAGTCATGGAAGGAGACAAGAAGGCAAGTATTCCTGGGCCATGTCAATTGTAGAAGGTTTCTCTAAAGAAAAAAAGGGCTAAATACAAGCTTGTTCTTGCACCACAGGCATGGTATTTCTGCTACCAGATTGTAGGGTTGGGTCTTTGAGTCATGCTGTGCTTGGTCTTTCCCTCTCTCTTAAGAAGCTTCTCCTGTGTCACTTTGCAGTCATTGTTCAGAGGGACACAATGTGCAGAAAAAGCCTCTGGCTTTGCCAAGTCATCAGCTTTTATATGCTGGAATCCCAAATGGTACTGATGGCTCTTGCAAGCAAACTATGAACATTTACCTGTTTCTCTTGACTCAGCATAGTGTAGTTCACTGAAAGCTTGTTCCACTGGAATACTCACTGGTGAAGACATCGCTTCTCTTTCATCTGGTAACATCAGTAGAAGTAACAAGTTGCTGTTACTTAAGAGGTTAGAAAGATGTGGTGAAAGGAATGCAAATGCTTCGGGCATGGGGAAAGGGCATTCGGGTCAATGGTGCCTGAACACCCTAGTGCTTCTTTGAAAGACAAGTCATTTGAGGTGAATATTAAAAGCTTGGGTGTTTGTGCATGGTTCAGATTTCAGGCTCTGTATCTTTGAAGAGAAAAGGGTAATTCCAGCGGTCAGGAAACCTGATCCCTGATCACGGTGCTCTGCGTTCAGTGAATGAGCTGCTTTCTGGGACTGTTGCTCACCAATTCTCATATTATGAAACTTGTTCTGTCAGCCTCTTTCTGCAAGTTTCTCCATAAATAAAACTGACAGGGTTAAGGATATTCCTTATCAGAAGTTCCTTGGGTGTACCACGGATATCATGTTATCACTAAGTACCTGTAACAGAAAACAGGGTATAGTTTTCCCTTTAGTGTTCTGCATTGAGGATAAAATGTAGGAGGAGCAGAACGGCTTTGACTACAAAGGGTGGTGTGATGGCTTCCTTTTGCTCTCTGAAGAGTTGTGTGTAAATTGTGGCTGTGTGAAATCATCTCTCTACCTGCTGTTGATGGAATTATTATATGGCAATCCAGAAATCTGTTTCCCAGGCACGGCTGGTAAGAGGTGCTACTTCCCATGCTGCTTTCTGCCCCAGCCTTGCTCCTTACAGCCTTTGGGCAATGGAGTTGGAGGAGTTCCCCTTCTAAAAGGCTACAGGAGGGAGCTGGAGGTGTGTGTCACCAGTGGAAAAGGGAACAGGGTCTGTTTCTCCATCCTTGTAGCTCACTGGTGGCATGCCTGACACTGGATCTAGAGGCTGCATTCAAATCACCCTGCAGTCTTACTCTTTATGCTCAGTGCCATATGTGCACTGTGGAGCTTTCTTGAAGAAATCACAGCGTGTAAGAGGCAAAGCTCTGCCTGCCTCTGCTGTGAGGGCAAGACAAGGCAGCACAAGGACAGTGATCCAACCCCATGTGTTCAGGTCCCACAGCTTTGTGTTGCTCTCTTCCAGGTGCCTCATGGCCAGAGCAGAATGTGTTTTGTACAGAGAGATTAAATGTGGGTTGTGGCAGGGCGTGTGATGGAGAGAGTGATTTTCTACAAAATTTGGTGAAAGAGCCTGTGCTAGAAGCTGGGCAAAGGAGTTCTTCCTTTGAAGATGCACGTTTTGCTTTTCAGAAGCTGTAAAGAACCGTGGCGAAAGTTTTCTGTGAGCAAACTGCACTATGTTCATGCTTCAGAGATAATTTATCCCAGAGAAGACAAGCAGAGTGTTTCAGGTACATTTTAAATTCACTTTGAATTACCAACTTACCACTTACTGTGGTTGCAGGAAACATGGGTGGATTTGGGCAAATACGGGAAACAACTCTCAGGAACGTCACGTGTAGGATAAACAATATATACTCTTAACAGCAAGGTCTGAATCAGTGAGCAATGACACTAATACAAACCCCCAAGGATGTGGAAATCTGATTCTTCAGCTATTTTTGTTGGGAGAAAAATCTTGTGCTTTTTTGTCTGAAACAGAGATCCTTTGCAAATATGCTTTTAAGACTGAAACCTTTGCTGACAGTGGTCTGCCTGATTCAGTTGCTTTCTTCTGCAAGACATTTGTGGCAGAGGGTGGGTGCTGAGAGTATGACAGGTATTCTATGCAGCTTGGCTGCTGTAGGAGGCCCTCCCACCCCTACTCTGTTTAGTACTAAATGTGTTTGCCAGCAGGAGTCTTGTGGGTACATATTCCAAGTGTGCCTGGCAAAAGGCATTTGAAATGACAAGGACATAGAGGGACTGGAGAGTGCCAAGGGATGCTGCCAGCAATAAGCTGGCACAAGTGTCACCTGGGTGGAA